TGCCCTTCGACTTAGCAACCAATCAGAATGAGGCGGGAATTATTACATCCGCCATCTTTGTAAGCAATGGCGGTCGGCTTTCTTCGTTCTGTGCTTCTTTCAGCTATTTCTTTTGTGAAGCTATGTAATCTAATGTCTCAGTGTGCTAAAATGCCGCAGTTAGTGTAATGTTCTATATGTTGGTGTGAAGTTTATTTCGAATCAGCTATGTTTTCTGGGTTTTTGCTGCTTCTACTCAAGTCAATGTATTTCTTCGGGCAATCCGGCTAGTCTTGTGTTATAAAATGTCGGCCGGCTTTCTTCGTTCTGTGTTTTTTCCGCTATTTCTTTTGTGTAGCTACAGAATTTGATGTTTCAGCGGGCTAAAATCCAGAAGTTAATGTAATGCTCTGAACGTTGGAGCAAAATTTTTCCTGATTTTGCTTTGTTTTCTGGGTTTTACCTGCTGCTACTGAAGTCACTGTATTTATTCAGCTAAGCTGGCTAGTACTAACATGAGACCTTACGTTTTTAAACGTCAATCGGTTATGTTTTACCTTGTTTTCTAGATATCCCAAACCGAAGTTCGTTTTTATTTAGCTAAAATAATTGTTGCTGCCGTCTGTGACTCTTACTGTTCGCATGTTCGTTCCTGAATGTCCTTTATGATGTTATCGGCAAAATGAAAGTAAACAATCTGCGTTTTTTAAATTTTCTTTAGTATTATGGACAACACTATCCCACCAACGAGTCAAACTAATACAGAGTGCCCAGCAGTAGTGTGTATCGGTATTGATTTCGAAAGGACCCAGACTTACGACAACTATAGATAAAGTCACAGATGCTACCAATCTGTTGCAGAGGGTTTGTTATGAAAAATATGCCATATGGCAGTAATAGAGGGGTTGTACTCATTACGCAGTGCGTTAAAGCAAGCTTAACATTGAGAAGCCGGAAATCTGCTACCAATGTCTAGTGTATGTTTGCTGTTTTGGCCATAAAAGGAAGCCGAAGGGTCATGATCAGGGAGTAAAAAGGTAATTAACTGTTATTAAGCTCACTTTTTTATAGATCATATTTCACCACTCGCAAATTTGTGTTTTCTTACGGTATGATGTCAACTGGTACCTAATACGTCCACCCTTACGATGAAAAGTACCTGCAAATTTTCACCTTCATATTCGAATTATTTTTGGACAACTGTCTTACAGTCTGAGTGCTTCGTACGCCCCGAGAAACTCTATTTCTACAGCATTCGTAGTTCCAGTATAACTTTCTCACACAGTAAGTTCAAGTTAGACACTAGTCTTTCTAAATAAGCCTGTTAAGCTGATATCCGTATTCTCTATTTCAGTTAATCGATGAAGACATGTACCACATGTATCTGCTATATACTGCCATTTTACTCCAATTCTAACTGTTATATCTTACTTTTGAATAATAAAATAGCTATATGCAGCAAATACAGACTTATTTGTTTTGATGGAGGTAGGGGGGTTCATGGGATTTTCAGCAGGACCGTATTAATATTCTCACTGAAGAGCTAAGCGAGTGCGTAAACCAGTGCAAGGTACTATACGAGGTGCATTTGAGTTACTAGTGTTCCATTAGTGCGGGTAGGGGCATTGCTTGCTTGTCATATGGCATTTGAATTAGAAGCTATAAGATAAGACGCAGGTACGGTTAGGATGTGTAACGCGTATCCATCCATCAGCTGCCGTGACAACACATGGTGGTTAGAATAAGTTGTGAGAGGAACCGAGTCTGTAGGTCTCCCAAGAAAATGATGAAGATATGCACCAAATCACCTTATGAAGAGCGCCTCCAATCACTTGACCTCTACTCATAGTATAGACGTCTTAGAGGTGACCTAATGGCTTACAATAACTTTAACACTTATGGACATCCCTAAAAAACCTGCTTAAGTTTAGTCCCAATACCAACCTAAGGGGCAACACCCATAAATTGGAGACACAACTCTTACTCTTTGGAAGTTGTCAAATGCTGAAATTGTCTGACGACTGAGCTAGTCCAAGCGACTTCCCAGGAGTCCTTTAAGAGGCAAGTGGATTTGTTCTTAAGGATTAAGGATAGTATCATACTATGATTTACCAATTTCTCTTTTATTGTTAACATACCTAGGTTCCTGCCTGGAGGTTTTGGTGACCCCCTTGCTACTAGACACGGAAGCCTGTTAAGCGAAAGCTCCTTCCATTCCGTCCACAACCATTTGAACACATGAACTAGGTGCTGAGAGACTCGCTTGTGACAAGTTTCTTGCGACGATTAAGTAGATAAGACAAAGTAGCATTAGATTCAAAAATTTATGCGAGAAATTTCATTAAGAATCGAATATCAAACAAAGGTTTAAACCAAGTTCCCGTTTAAAAGTTGTATTGGTAATGTTATTCTGCAGTTTTTGTTATTTTTTTCCAAACGAAAGAGTAAAAAAGTCAAAAAAATATTGGAAGTGGTTGTGAGACTAAAATGGACGTCCAGCATCCTTTTTATAATCTGCTGTTCGTTGGGTCTCCCGTAAACAGTTCCATAGGGCCATAGTTCCAAGGGCGAAACAGTTTCTAGGGTCTGTGAAGGCTCACTCCTGTTGCATTCTAAATGAAAACAATAGTGATGAATTTAGTCAAAATGTGGAATAGATAAATAACCAAATTTATGCAGTTGTGACTTACCTTGAGTTCATGAATATTAGATAAGGTCAGCTAGTATTACTTGCGCAAAGCATAACATGGGCTAAGTACCGTATTGCAATGCTTTTATTATTTTGCTCCCATTTAAGTATTCCCATGCATCTGAGTCTAGTTTGACAGGAAAATATACAAGCAGAGTAAGTGTATGATAAACTAAAAGTCCCATTTGCCAAAAAGATTCTTAACATTTGTCCACAGCCAGCTGCATTTAATTGAGACACAGAACACTCATCTTCTAGGACTGTATACTGCTGTTTTGCGGGCAACTAAAAGCTCAGACACTTAGTTATCTTGCTACCGATGTTATTGCTGGGGAAATTGTTTAATGACAGTGATCATGAAATATGGTCAGTGATAGATGTACAGTTTAGAAATAAACACCAAACATACTTATCGCTATCGTATAATGTATGACAGCAACAGCATCAAAGGCACGTTTTTTCCTATTTTTAATCAGAATGATCTGAATCCGTATACACATTAGAAACAGGCAACTCTACTTACTAAACTGATCTGTTTCGTTACAGGCTTCAAGCACTATACTTAAGTATATTATAATTCTTTCAACTAAAATGAATTATACTACAACCAAGAACACTAAACTAAGCAAGTGTCATAGTTATTGTTTCGCTTGCAAAGACATGTTCCTCAAAGTAGTTAAATGAACATAATTAAGCCGATAAAACCAAAACACGAAATATAGGCCAGTTGAACTTACCTAAGAAAAAAAAGAAGGATACATATAAACTGCTTTCATACTGAAGACAACAGGCAATTGTTCATAGAAACACAGTTTACAGTACAAAAAAACTTTTCTTCAGTAAAATCATGCACTGACAGTCTATCTGGAAACAATCAACTATGTGAATTAACTTACTATGACTTGAGATATCATCCCATCGTGCGATTGACGTACAGTGTAACGCAGTCAGACGCGGCGAATAAAAATTAAAAACAGAGCAAAATTAATTACATAATCTAGTTATTTAATTAAAAATACATTATGAAATGACAAAATCTGTGGTTACTTGAACGCACAGATGACTCTGTGCGATACATTAAGTTTACATGGTTGCGTTGCGGATAAGATCACCCGAACGAATGCTATAAATGTACCATGCAAAAACAGTAATGTTCCATATTGAATTACGGTCACTGTATAGTTTTTATTCTTGAATTAGTTTTCAAAAAGCGTGAAGTAGGTCTTATCAAATGTCAAATTAAGGGCTTACATCCATACTGAATAATTCGATCATGTTTTCGCCGTGTATCTTTCTTACAAACATTAGGATGACGGCCCTCCATCTGGGGGATATGGACAGGGGAGCCCAAAAATCACATCAAACCATGTCAGGCCATTATTCATAAATGATCAATCATTAGTAAACCCCTATATGAAATAGCATTATTTCAGAGAGCTCCATACTTCTGTAGTGACTCACTTTTATCACGAGAACACGATTGGTTTAATGAGAACAATTATTATTATTATGAACATCTGTAACTGTGCTTGTTTAATGTGCTCTTTGTTTAACTGCGCTAATGACAGCTATATTATGCTTCCATTATTATTCTTACACTTTGATTGTGACCTCGCGCGAATTCGGTTACGTTCTGTAACCAAGATTGTATTTTGGCACGATCTCGGTATTCTTTCGATACCACAAAATCGCCAGTGATCATATCTCGATTTGGTCCATTAACTGCCTTCTGATATTTGGCTTCCGGGAGATTTTATGGATTTATTTGGCACGTGTTTCTCTGTAGCGGTGTTCACAGTCAATTGGGACTCGACAGCACGCTACACCCTAATGATTGAACAAGGAAGATGAAGAAGGTGGGAAAGAAAGTATATTTGAATGTAGGCGGTGACAAATGGATGATATATTAATGAGCCAGCTATATGGATTGGGAGAAGCATCTCTTGTGAGGTGTCCCCGCACATCGCCACGATAAGTAACCTAGAGGCTCTGTTTAGGAATGTACGTTAAAAATGACAATCACATTATGAGGGCTGAATATTTATTGCAGTTATTTACCACAATTTATTCATATTTGATTTTAAAGTATCCAAATCATAAGGTGCTTTCATAATGGATAGTCAGTAATCATGCATTTTTCTACAGAATGATCCCAAAGTAACTATGAAGCTACTGAGTAATGTGATGAGATTCACTTACACGAAATTAGTTTTGCTGAAATATATACAGACTATTCAGAATTCACTATTTGCGAACTTCACTTTGAGAAGGCTTGTTGTTTTAATTTTTCTTATTTTGAAGGGCACAGCTGGTTGTCAAGGTCGAGTTGGCGATGACGTTCGTTACAAGTTCAGGTTGGTTACATAAATCTTCCCGAAACTGTTAATGCATATTAACACAATCAAATAGAGTTATCAAATAGTCTACTTCTCAAAGTTTTTGTACGTGACAACTAGGGTCATTGTTGTTTATGGGTTACTTAAAACAGTCAGTGATACTTTAAGACTTCAAGAGTATTTATATATCCTTCTAAGGGAACTTTTGTATACTTCTAAATCAAAAATACCGCACGATACAACTGGACAAACGGATATATATCCCAACGTTGTCAACGGTGTTTCTTGCACATTGAAATACAATCTTTGGAGTAAAACCATTAAACTATCAAACAACAAAATGTATATAATGCTACACTTCGAATCGATAATTAGTGGTGATCGACTTGATTTTCGGCATCCAGTAAGCACTTTATTTTCCTCGAACAGCGAAACTAAATGCTATCAGAACGGCTGTCTTTCAATGAATATACTTTAGTCTGGCATTCATGCAATTATCTCATTTTTTATTACACCGCTCCTTAGTTCTTCCAATTTATTAGGTTAGTTAGCACTCAATGTAAAAGTATTCGGGATCTCACCGTTTCTACAAATGTGTCATTTAAGAAATAAGTGTCTTGATCATCACGACTTCCCTCACTTAGGTCCTAGAGTACGCACAGATCTACTTCAGTCGACACTAAATACCCTTTTTCTCAGTATTCACTTAGAAGTAAACAATAGTATATATCCAAAGTTAAATTCACGAGTTTCGAATGAGATCGATCGATTTTAGACCACTATTAAGGTCCTGTAATAACTAGACGGCCGTTTCTTCCTAGTACGAGACTCCTCGGTAGTGCTCATCCATGGCCGTCCAGCGCTTCCAGGCTTTCAATTGTGGTCTAGCTTAGAATGACTCGTGAATTCAACGTTGAAAATACTACAATCTCCAAGAATCCTCATAATTTACAATGGTGTGTACGTCGAATCGTCTGCTGGTTTCGTACACTTTGAAATATCTTTTAACGCCTTTTTAGGTTGAGTTAGTGTTAGTCTTAGTAATGTGGTTGCACAACTAAGAAGTCTAATAAATGAAATGCCCAAGATAGGTCGGAAATATCTTCCTATAAGCATTGGGGGTTATGGCCATAGTGACTTTGTCGGCCATTTATGTTAAACCTCTGCATCGAGGTAGCAGATACAGTCAGAAGTTATTCCATCGATGGTTAAGAAAAGTTTGTTTCTGTTCAAGGAGCTCCTATGATGTTTATGAACAATCTAATTTCGAGGTACACCAATATAGCAGGTCTTCTCAGGGACCTATCGCCTTAGCTCCTGACCTAGATGTTCAATCCCCAAGTCTTTAAAGCGGCGTTGAGAGATACCGTCGCTCATGAACCAACGTTCAATAATGGGTTTATACACTGTCCTTTCATGACCCTGGGGTTGGTGCTTGTTGTGGGCTTGGTATTGGGTCTCCTAGCTCCTCTAGGCGGAACCTCGTACCCAATAAACCAGTCTGAGCACCTCATTTCGTGGGGAAAACCAGTGGGCTTTCCTGTTCAGAGATTATAAATGTATTGCTGTATGAGAACATCCCGAAAGAAAGTCTTTTTAGAGCACGTAAGAGGTACACTGGTAGTCGAGTTTACGACGACTTCTGAATAGCTTTTACATATTGTATCGCATTGGATAAGCAACTTTTCATCTCGTTATTAGGACTTGATGGAAAACGCTTCCCCTAAATGCTACCTATTCAAGAACTGACTTGCCTCAAATTTCGGAAGTGAAGCAATAGAAAACTGTTTTGAAATACTTATCACATTTTGTTGTAGTTTTTTTTAACTGTCATAAATATGACTATGCTCTGTAAATGAGAATACTAAATCAATTTACTTTTTACCCAATCCACATTGAGAGATGTATTTCTGCTAATTAATGTCTACTTGTCAGTCAGTTACATAGAATTTAAAACCTGCTACATATGTACATCAATTCAAGTTGTTACACCCCATTAGTACACCGAGGTGAAATTGTCAAAACCAATACTAGATTAATACAGGTAGTATCAGTATTAGTAGTGATAGAAAAAATTAGGCATCAGGGATATAGTTCACGAAGAAAATATTTACTGATACATAATTATAGTCTTAACCATGATATTTTTAAAAAATCCAACTCTGTTAATCTTTGCAAAAAATCGTTTTAAAGACAAGAGTTCTTTTTACTTTTAGGTAACATTGTTGATAGGCAACCATGGGGTATACGTTACTTGAAACAAATACTTCTCAATCTTTTCAACATCGTTTGTCTATTGTAAGTCGACATTTTATCATTTATTCAACTACTTTTTCAGTATTCAAACACTCTTACCTTTAGACGTAAGTTCCTACGATTAAAAGTGAAAGGATACTTGTAGCTTTTTCGCCCGAAGACATCTAGTCAGAGAAATTCTTGGGATGGAAGGTTAGTCGCCCAAGTTCTTGTAAAAAAACTTATGATGTTATAGACCACCTCGACCACCTGGACGACGTTTTGGTGGATTTGGAGGCTGTGGAGGTAATGATCTGCCTAGCACTTGTATCAGATTTATATTAAAATTCTTAATACCATATTCTATAGCCCTCATTTCAGTCAATTATCCACAACGTAGGACCAGGCACATATACATCCGTTCAAGTTACCATGCCTCATTAGCGCAACACGATGAACACCAAATTCATAGATGTAGTTATTTCAATGGCAGTAATATATAAAAGAAAGAATGCATATTAAGACGTACTACAAAAAAAGAATCAGTTTGTAGAGAGAAAGATATAAAGTAATTTTAATCTCATGGTTTAAGGGAAAACAGAGAGTGTATACACCGACGCCATTGTGACCGATTCTGAGACATGTCACCAAGAGTTTCCAACCACTGGTTACGGTAGTCGCGCGGACCACAACCAAGTAGTCTACATCTACCAACATGGTTCAGACTAAAAGTTAGTGACTTCGAGGACTGATGCAACATTTCGGTTTGGCCTCCCCTAAGTTTCTTACAACCCTCTCCGACACTAACCGACATTTTGCGTCGTGGTAATCGGTGTTCAGGCATACGTAACATGTGGCCCAACCATCTCAGTCTATAAAGATTCACAACCTCGTCAAGTGATTAATCATCCTTCCCTAATACCCTACGTCTAACTTCACCATTACTTACCCGGTTATCCCAACGGACGCGAACAATATTTCTAGAACATTTGTGGTCAAATACTAGTAATTTACGAGTATTGTCTACCCTTAATGGCCACGTGTCGCAATTGTAAAGTAGAAAAAAACAAACTGCTGCACAATATACTCGTTCTTTATTTGATGATCCTCCTTTGGATATACCGTGAATCTTACGCTTCTGTAAACATGAAGTGCGTAACTGTCGAGAAATATAACTATTTACTGGGGTTGTGGGCATTTTTGCTCACCAAAAGAGTCTGAGATAGCCCTAGTGCCTCATTGGCAACACATAGATCAGTAACTTGGGTTGCCTCAGCAAGCAGTGCCTGTGAAAGTGCATGTCATTAAATGGTGTTACAAACTCTCACAATATTATTTAGCAAAAATCAGTTTTCCTAAGTTTAAGTGGAAATGTAGAATGCACAAAACTGTTGTGTTGCTCACAAAATGCACAGTGTAGTTTCTACTAACTATGTTTATGGTTTAGGTAAAAGGTCATTTGTGCTAGTAATTCGTTTACTTGTATATAATATAGCTGACAACTTACTAATATATGAACGGTAAGTACTATCAATGAAAATTGGTCAGATACTCCGTTTCCACTTTTGTAAAACACCAAGAAGCGACCAGTCAGTGCAATGCTGGAAAACATCTAAATATTAGTCTGATAAGAAAGCTCGTTAATTTGGACACTTGACTTTTGATCAGCGAATAGGATAAACTAAAAGCAGTTAGGGTAACTTAAGTAAACCTCTTAACCTATATTCGAGCTACTTGACATGTAGATCTCTCCTTTCATTCGTTGTGTGCATATTCCCTATAGTTCACATAATTATTTCCACTTTTTTGCTCATTTTGTTGATTTCCTGTCAATTTATTTATTTGAGCACATAAACATTGGTACAAGGGGGCACCATACACATATGCGCCACACAATAACAATGAGACCAGTATTAGTGATCATTGATTTGTGTGATGGCTATGATACTGTCCGGGTGCTCAATATCAGTGTACTAATAGTAAATATGACACCTCAAACTGGAACGTGTTGAGCTAGGCTGTATGTTCTATTTATCACTCGTTCAAATTTCACTCTACCTGTGGAAGTATAGACAGTTACAGCGAGTAGCTCTCTCACAACATGTAGCTTTTTTTACCTAGTACATCAATCTGTAAGTGAATTACGTTGTGTTTTTCCTTTGAGGTAGTTTATACTAAATACTGAAATTTAGTGGACTTCCTGGAACTGTTGAGGGTTGTACAGAAGTCAGTTAAATCATTGTTATTAGAACCTGTCGTTTTCTGTTGATTTTTCCAGTACAAAATTGAATTGACTTTATTAGAATTTGAACTTCTTGTAAGTATTCCTCAGTGTTAACTAATCTGAGTTGTATTTGATTGTAGTTATCTGTTGAATCCACTCCAAGCTCGTAGTCTCGACAGTAATGTTTGTTTAGTGGATTAAAACATCTGATCGGTCCTTACCTGTTAGTCAAGTCATAAACGTAATCAACCATTTGAAGTGTTTTTGTTTATTTTCTTTGCATAGTTAGTGTTTTCCTTCATTTTTCGTTTTAGGTGCTCCAAATGCTCCACCAATGGCCGGTGGAGGATGAGGTTAAACAGTCTTTGGAATTAATAGTAGTCAATTACAAATTCCAAAGACTGTGAATCGAATAATTTGTTATCAATCCTTTAGATCCTGTTTGGGTATATGACGGTTGTCTGGAAAATCTTGTCTGCAGATCTAGACAACTTGATGACCAAATTGGGATTTATATGCTTACAACATTAGTTTCTTTGTAAAAATCAACCTAATTTTTACTTTTACAATGAACATCGATTTTTTGTTTTCCAGAAAACTTACGTATTTCGTGTTTGTTTTTACGGTTGTTGATTCATTACTAATGCAAAATAATTTCTAATGTCAAAGAAACTATTAGTTTCTCAACTAATGGATAAATGGCAGTTTACTACTCAAAATGTTTTATTCTTCTGAAATAGAGTCTCATTTTCGATTCAGTTGATATACTTTGTTCGACTTAAGCTAGTGAATAAATGCACTTGTATGTACCTCTAGTTTCTAGTTTCGAATCGATTTGATATATGTCTCTGACTGGTATCTTAAGTGAAATTTTAGTTTATCGATTTTGGAGGTCGTTCGGAGGTTGAAGCAATAGATTTTGAATCGGTAGGTTCTATGTTCAGCATACTTCACTTAATTTCGTTTGGCTATCTGTGTGATATTTCTAACTCATATAAGTAGATTATACCTCTGAAGCTGTGCTTGAATCCATTCGAAATATTGGGGAAGTGTAGTTTCTTATTTGGAAATATGAGATGGCATTTCATATATCAATGGTCAAGATCATGAGTCAGTTGAAGCTAGCCCACTATGGAAAAACTGGGAGCATTGGACGACCGTTTCGTCCTATTGTGGGACTCCTCAGCAGTGCGCATCCACGACCTCGCCCCCAGCGAGATTCAAACCCAGGACCTACTGGTTTCTCGCGCGAGCACTTAACCACTAGACCACTGAGCCGGCACCCAACGGTGCCAATGTCTAACTTCAACATATGCTCACTAGTGACTGGCTTCAAGAGGCATATCCTGGAGTTCTAGTGAGAAACAGTGACCAGTGGAGTTCAACCAGGCCTGTTATGAGATAGTAACTCACTGAAGACAATGGTGGATGTGTCGCTCAAATTCGGCGCCGCCCCAATGGTCTAGAGGTTATGCGTCCGTGCGCGAGACCGATAGGTCCTGGGTTCGAATCTCGCTGGGGGCGCGGTCGTGGATGTGCGCTGCTGAGGAGTCCCACAATAGGACGAAACGATCGTCTAATGCTCCCAGTTTTTCCATGGTGGTCTAGTTCCAACTGACTCATGATCTTAACCATTGAAATTACTATAATATCCACAAAACCCATCTGACACTTCATATATATTCATCACACAGGCGTCTTTTATGTAAAAAAAATGTACCTGTTAGCGGGACATAGACTAGGTTTAAGCATGCTCAATGCATGATTGCTTTGGTGCACGCTGATTGGCTAATTCTTATTCAATCAGCACTAGTCGATAGTTGGAGAATACTCTGGAATCTTCTTATGTAAAAAACTATAAATATACTGACGTTTTCCCTATTGTGCTTCTGACTTGCTATTTGGAATATAATCTCTTTCCTGTTCAACCGTGTTCTGATTTTGGTACTTGTCGAGTGAATACTAAACAATAGGAATAGCTGGGTCATAACCGTAAGAAGAAAGAGATTATAACGGTACCTCAATCAGTTTGTATATGTTTTAGATTTCTTTTTGTTCAACAGTTACAGTGGTACACATTTAATTAGTTATTCACCAAAATTCTATACAGTAGTTATGAAATTACCAAATTTTCGTTTTTTGTAGCACTTGCGTATCAAATACTGGCTGTATGTTGCTGCTTTCAGATAAACTACTATTAAGAAATTCAGTAGACAGTATGTTTTTAATCAAAACCAAGAAATTAAGTCATTGTGCAAGTAATGTTTTAAATAAATCACCAGTTACTGTCTCGAAATTCCCGAACATTTTTCTTTCGGGATATAATAATCATAAGACGGTTGAGAAAATAGAATACGTTGAGACAAAACGCTGAATAGAAGACTTCAGAATGACACAGTAAGACAGAAGCATAACTAGCTAAGCAGCTTATCTCTACAAACCTACATCAAGTAAGGTTCTATCAAGTTAGATATAACCTAGTAAAGAGGTGGGATGGATCAGAATAGGTTCAATCATTTAGAACTATACGTATCGTAAACCGATACGTAGGTTGGTAGTTAAGATTAAAATCAATTGAGATTTCTGAATGGTTAAGTTTAGATTAGCTTTATCTCCATAAATTATCAGAGGAGTTTAAATGTTCAATCATTCTTACACTCTTTAAATGAAAATAAAAAAGTGTTTAATATCTGAAATCTCACTGTAGATTTATTGGGATGCAATTGCCTTTGTCCGCAAGTATCACAATATCCAGAATATTTGCCTCTAAAAAGTTGGATTCTGTGGATGTTTGATAAGAATTGTATATGGGAATATTTCCGCGCATCTGGTGATTCCCATTTTCCTAAATAATTTTTGGGGCAGTTATCACTTATCTGAAAGTACACGAATATCAATCTAAACTGTTATTTCGTTTTGTTCAATCTCGCCTTTGGATTATGCGATAATAAAGGGAAGTGACAGGACTGCCGATTCATCTAAAAAGTAATATCGTTTATAAATTATTGTTTTATATACTTGGCCACTAGCCACAAATTACATGAATCTAATCTAGTATTCTATAGATAATTATGTGTTATTAGTTTGGAAACCCGTTAAAAATACTCAAAAATTATATTACACTTGTAATCCTATAAGTAACTTAAGTTATTTTCTTGTTTAAGCCACAGTTTGTATAAGCAACATTATTTATATCACTTATTTGCAGAGCGATTGGGCAGAAGACAAGCGCTCGAACTATTAAACAATCCACAACATGTTATCAGTTTTATCTCGTACCAAGTTTGTTTTAATGCCGAATCGGGTTGTAAGTTATTTTCTCTTTTTCGAAAACATTGAATACTGTCTGAATTGTTATTATAGTTTCAATTAATAATCAAAAATTTGTTGAAATAACTGATTACACATGAATATAATTATTTGTTGTTTTCATTAGAATACTTTATTAAAAATTTAGGAACCCAATTTTTAAAAATCAGTTTTACCATTTTGATTGTTCATGATACAAACTCTCGTAGAACGCGTTGTAATCTGGATCAGAAAATAGTTTGAACTATATATTACTTGAGATGTAGCTTGTAGATCAAACCTGTCATCAAAGTTATCACCTAATATTCACTACGCAATCGGAGCATGTTAACGTACTACTGAACACACTGCGATTATTCTTTAACACCATGTTTCAAACAATCTTGACCAAGCCTTCAACCATTACGAAGACAGAACCAGTCTACAACTGTGATATATATACATATTCAATTCACAGTAATTATCTGGTAGATTTAAATAATCAGACATCAGTTGTTGTCATATTAAACCATTCTCATACTGAATGAATATAAATAACAGAAATTGTCAGAACACAGTCGACTTTTACAACGAAAGATTATCATATTCAACTGATCAATAATATTACGCTTCAATGAGAATCGTGAATCAAGCGGAAATATTGCCATATTCATTGTATTCCTGTAATGGATGTTCATCGAAATAGGTGTTATTGTTCATAGTTTCGTCTCGATTTATTTCGACTTCCGAATATATGGCACTATGAGAGAAATTTCCTGTCTCTGAATCCATTTCGTTTTTAGATGCAATGTTATTTGACATAGTGTTATACCTCTGACCCAACTGCGTCACAAGACAAGCCCTCACATGGAATCCTGAAGGTCAAAGGAAAAGAGGAAGACCAAAGAACACATTACGCCGAGAAATGGAGATAGACATGAGAAAAATGAACAAGAATTGGATGGAACTAGAAAAGAAGGCCCAGGACAGAGTGGGTTAGAGAATGCTGGTCAGCGGCCTATGCTCCATTGGGAGTAACAGGCGTAAGTGAGTCTCTTGCTCCGAGTCCTAACATTAGACTGCCAAATCGAATAAGGCACAGCTAGGGACAAGGCAAAGGCTAATAATAGGATTCGAGTGCATATGTTCATAGGTAAGAGAATGATTCATTTAGCGATATTTGACTTATCAATATTTTAGCTTGAGTCTGTCATGTGATCACGTGTAGATCTATATACTGATATGATAATGATGATAATACTACAATCAAATATGCGAATGCTTACTGTTGGAGCAACATAGTCTGTTAAGTAAATTAATAAAACGACGTAACCAAAATTAACCATAATCGAAATTGATTGTAGGAGAATTGCTATAAATAATAAGTAACTGGTTTTGTTGCATGCAGATATAATAATCATACCTCCACCGTTTATCGTGAATATGAACAAATATACTGTGATTTTACTTAATTATTTATTACAGTGATACCCAGTGGAAGAAAAGTAAGAAAACAGAATGAGATCTCTACGTTTGACGCCAAATCGGATTGCAGGGAGGAGAAGATTTGAGGAATTAAAATTCCATAGCGTGTTAAGACGAACCTCACTGACAGGTCAGCCATTTTTCATAGGTTATGAGAATCTTCCGAAAAGGAACCAAAGGCTAGATTTGAGCATAACCTCAACCACATTAATTCCTTTATAAGCAAGCTACTCCCAGAAAAAGTTACCGGAGTTAGCATCTGTAATCTTTATAGAACAGGACAAAAAGTGTATTCTGAAAGTACTCAGAAAAGCTTGTTCTTAAAGGTTACCTGTGTTTTGTCTGAATAAAGAAACTTGTTGTTGGAAAACTCATGCAAACTGATTGGGTCCGGAATATACATCCATTGGGATCTCAGCCTAGTTGACTGTAATAAGAAACGAGCTGCAGAAGTAGAAATAAATGAGCGCCACCAAAATGGTGAAAATACCTCGTACTTAAAGGTTTCCAAATTGTGAAATTTCGAAGCAAAACAATCACCAAATCACTCTGGGTTGTAAGGGAAAGTTCTCTACAGAATTATAAGTGTGCTGCACAAATGCTCGCTGCCTACAAAATAAAATGGCAGAGCTCAAGACAATGGTGAATATGGAAGACCCGTATGTCATTGCTGTCTGAGAAACATGGTTAACGTCAGAAGTGTTTGAAAATGAAATTCAGTTTACTGGTCGTTTATTGCACTAGCTTTATTCGAACACACAAGAGATCATACCGCAAGGTTCTGTCTTAGATCCTTTACTTTATTTATTCTTCTTCATTCAAATGTAAGTGTTCGAATATGATGGATATTTTTTAAAATTTATTATTTCACAGTTAAAATCACGAATCGATTTAAGATAGAACACTTGAAAACCTGGAAACATCGGATGACCTATTCGTCCTTGTATGGGGCTCCTCAGCAGCTCCCACCTACGATCCCATATTCGGAACTCGAACCTGGGATCCTTGGTCTCGCGTGCGACCACTCAGTGGTTATTCCCGATTTCGATTTATTACTTCGTTGAATTAGTTTTGTGGAGGTCAGTTTTCAAGTTGTCGGGTGTATTCGTTAATAATTGATTCCAGTCGAAATGCCACCAAGTTGTTATGTAAAGCTCAGTAATAATATACAACTGTCCAAGCTGAAATCTGTACATTACAGTTTGAAATCGTAACGATGGTCGGATGCTAAGTGATTTAATCTGTAATCCTCAACTTTATTATTTGATGGATATGAAGACGAACTATTGATTGTAAACACTACCCACTTGTTATGGTGTATGGTGTATGTTTCTTCTTCATCTTCGATATATACTTCTAGATTTCACAATTACTGTTTTGGCGAATATTGTCAGATATAAGTAATGTGTGGCAGCAGTCGGAAGTGGAATGCCTGTCAGCATAAGGTTGAGATGGAGAGAACAGGAATGAAAACAGAGAGCAGTTGGGATAACGACATAATTGGAGGAATCATGAAGTAGGTAAGGGATAGCTGTACATCCTGTACGGATTGCCTCGATTATGCTATCAATTCATATTTCTTATAATTAGAGATGGATAGTGGTTATCAGTGCTACACAGGACGCACATTTCATCCTATTTCGAACTCGTCAGATGGATGTGCTTGCTGACCATCATCCACCTTAGCTTATAATACTATTGACTTTGTTATTTAAGTTAACAATAAGAAATATTTGGGTTGACGTTTTCGTTTATTTCTTCTTCATTCTCCCAACGATAACAGTTTTATTTATCCATGACATAAACAGTATACCTACCTGTTAACTGATTTCACTTTTGATTAACCTTTTCGGATGTTCACACGAAACATTTTCGTCAGTTGTTGTCATCTCTCAATATCGGTCACAGTATTGTGAAGTTAACTGTGTGTAATCAAATCTATGCTGCTAAAGTGGATCGTCAATGCCTAAAATTTTAAGTGATCAAATTAAATTGAGTGCACGTATTACCAATGCACCAGTTGTTCCTGAATTTCATACTTAGAATTCTTCATTTGTGGAAGACGTGAATCATCCATGAATATCCAGGACATGCAACTAAGATTTCAACGTTTTATCGAAATTAAGCACGAAGCTGAACTGGTAGAAGATAAGCTGGATGTAAAATCTGTGATAATTTACGCCCTCGAGTTAATTCATCAGAATAGTTCTTACACCAATTCCTCTTATCGTGTTAGTTGACTAGTAGAAATACTTTTGTTAGTTATCGAAATGTCTAAAATGAATATTATAAGATATTACTTGTCATTACAGAATGAAAATGATAGTGTTAAGTGTGTTAGACACACACTTTTAAGGTGTAGATTGTGCACAACACCTAAGTCACTTAGCTTTGCTCATAGTAAACTATCGATTAACTGAACATGTAAGTTGTCCACTATATTAAAACCGAGGTAGATGAAGACATGACTGGTAAAATCGATAATAACTGCCACATGTGGCTTCCACATCTCAGTGTTTTTAAACATTGCGATGTTGAATTTTTCGGGTAACTACTTGTGAATATGATGCGTATTGAGATAGAACGCTTTAAAGAGAATTTGTTTATGATACGATTAATGAGGCTGTGTTGTAATTGTTATATCCTAGCGAAGATTAAATTACGAGTAACTTCTGAGACCTATTAATGGACTAATATTATCTACATATTTTTATGTTATAACTATTCAGTAACTAGACTATATAAATCTATATTCCTCTTATTATAAGCCTCATTTTGACCTGTAGATTATTATTGTACGACTTACCGTTCTTATGTTATGTTCGGTTTATTGACTACTGTCTCCCACATTCATAGCCAAGTTTTGGCTTTATTGTGTATAAATGTTATTTCCTATTTTGTGGTATGATGCGGTCTGTTTGCGTGGTATGTAAACCAAGTATGTCTGGGAGAAATGATTCGCATAGTGGAGCCTGTTATTGGCATTGTGGAGTCAGCTGGGTGGGCTAGGCGAGCAAAAGGCCAATAGGATGCTAGGCTGATCAGACCAGTCGGACGTCATTGGTTTAGTTCAGTACAAGAACGAATAAGTCGTATTTCGATTGGCGAATAGATTAAGTGATAACAACACAACAGTAATAACTCCACATCATTGAGATAGGAAAACAGATAATGGAAAACTCAAGTGCCTCTCAAAACCACCACTAACAGATCTTATCACTATTTGATAGGAAATACTTAAAATCGTACAGATTCTATACTCGATAGGAGAAAAGTGACTTGAAAATCTCCAGGTCGTCCTAACGTTGTCCTAGACTCCCTCGATTTTACAGTTGCACTATTGAGTCTGAGGTGATATGAAGTGAATAAAAATGCTGAAATATTTTACGTTATATCCCCTAAAAGTTTTGAGAGCTCTTCATCTCTGTAAATTAGTTCTATTCACGTTTGTTTTATCAAACGAAAAACTTGTGTTAGCGTTTTGAAGATCATATTGTGTGGTTGGTTCAACTATCTGCTTCTAGTTTCAGTTTCCAGATGGTCTCAATTTAAGGCTTCTGTTCTTCAAACAACGCATAAACGAACAATATTGTTTTCACTCAGATGGTCATCAGTCTTTACTCTAATATCTATGAATATTCACATATTCGGTGAGCATACGATAAAGAAAGGTGAATCATTTCGAGTAATCTATCGTAAACCTTAGTCATTTCCCAATGACGTTCGACCCCGTCTAATGCACATCTCGGAAACTATGTGGATCCGAACCTACAGACCTAGTTTCAGTTCAGAAGAAATTCCTGACACTCCTGTTCATTCCTTGGTCCGATACGACCGAATAAACGATTTCGTATTCGCTTGTCTATTTTCACCCCTTTCCGTTTATATTCTCCAGTAAAGTTCAGTGATGATCTAATTGAAAACAATATTATTGGCTTATTTTATTGTCGGTTTTCGTCTATTGATTTGCTTCCTAATTGTAAGTGGATTTCGTGCGCTTGCTAGATCGTTTACTCACATTTTCTCTTGACTGTCTCTTTACCAGCTCCTCCCATTCGCTCTACTCTGCAAGCTCCCCTAGTATACAAAGTACCTTCTAGCTAGACACGAACTGCTATTTATGATAAGACAATAGCGCAAGAAACGTAACATTCTTTTCACGTTTTGGAGGAACTATGTATGATATTACTTGAAATATATTCTGATATATGTATATATGTTGTTTACCACGTTTCACAATAGTGTTTGACATTATTTTATACATAGATAAATTTGATTCTATGTGGAATAAAACATATTTATCACATCTGGTAATTTACTGCATTTGTAACTGCACATCCAACTTCCAGTTTTCGGCTTAAGAAGATTTTCTTTCGGTTTTGTTTCGCGATTCTTTCGATTTTGTTCCTTTATTAGTTTTTCTTCCTCCACGTTTCTTATTAGATTTGTAAGTTCCATAGACATGATCTTTTGCGTACTTTTTTTTTGATTTAGCTTTAATTTTAAAGTTATCTTTAATATATGAACTAGCATATCGATCCGAACTTCCAATTGTCGGTATACTGTCGGAATCCGTTCGACTACGTTTACCATATTTTGTGATTTTACCACCATACTGAAATGTAGTCGTTTCTGAATCAATATCATCAATAGTTGAATAATCACGAGAGGAGAAATTATCTTCATAGCGTTTACCACCTGCCTTGTTTGATAATCTCTTATTATAATAATCATTTCTATTATTTTTGGACGAACTGTCTTCTCCGCTAGTACTGTGAGTTGCATTCATTACTTCTCCCTCTACTTTCTCAAACATGTACTCAATTGATCGACCTATAAAGAATTGCGTATTTTCTAATGTTATTAAATTGAATGTCACATAACTGATTAGTAGTAGGAAGATTAATAATCCTTTCTTCCATAACAATGAGAACTAAGGGAAATAAACCAAACTCTTCGACGCATTTGGCTAACTTGATCAAATATACGTATTAATGTGAATTTGTTCTTCATATGACACAGTTACTAAGTACATTTTGCGGAAATAATGATTATTTTAATATGTATTACATGATCACTAGAAATCCCATGCTATTCAGTAACTAGAAAACAGTTATCAACTGACTGTCTTTTGTAGTTTAAAAGATTGAACGCCAACCATTGGTATTAATTTTGTTAACATTGATATTCTCCTTTAGCCATGATCGCATTGCCAAATCTCACAGTGAATTTATTCTCATATAACACTTGATGTGAAGCAGCTAAAGTGGAAATCTACATTTTAATTTATTGGTCAATAAGACAGAAGGTTTCTTACACCAGATTGTGATTGATCCTTCTCCATAGTGTAAACATGTATCACTTGATAACCACAAATCCTATCCTATTGAATAACTAGAGTATGGTTATCAATTGATTGTCGTCTAAGTTTTGTAGTTTAAACGATTCATCACCAACCATTGGTATAAATTTGGTGACCATTTAGATATAGTGATATTTTTAATTAAATACTCTCATTCACTGTCTTAGGCTGCATTTTTGTGATCTCCCGTTCAATGAGTTATAAAGTTGTGATGGGAGAGGGATAGGTAGTAGTCACATTTTCTATCGATTAATATATTATAAATTGAAACCTGTTTCGATTATCTTATCGATTCCAGTCTGCAACTACAATATATATACAATATTTCTATTTACAGATTCACTTCACAGTAATTATCTGGTAGATTTAAATAATCAGACATCAGTTGTTGTCATATTAAACCATTCTCATACTGAATGAATATAAATAACAGAAATTGTCAGAACACAGTCGACTTTTACAACGAAAGATTATCATATTCAACTGATCAATAATATTACGCTTCAATGAGAATCGTGAATCAAGCGGAAATATTGCCATATTCATTGTATTCCTGTAATGGATGTTCATCGAAATAGGTGTTATTGTTCATAGTTTCGTCTCGATTTATTTCGACTTCCGAATATATGGCACTATGAGAGAAATTTCCTGTCTCTGAATCCATTTCGTTTTTAGATGCAATGTTATTTGACATAGTGTTATACCTCTGATTTCTCTTGCTCCGAGTCCTAACATTAGACTGCCTATTCGTCTTATTTGATGACAGGCTGTTTCCACGTGTGCGGTCAGTTAAAATATTTTGATTTTTCTGTTTTACTTTAGCATACGACAGATTTGTGCTATTTATTTGATAAGATGAAGTCTTAAGATCTGTGTAATAAATGGTTGTCTGAAAATCTACAGAATCAGGCAACACATTATTTTCCTGATCACCAACCACTATAGTAATAATAATTATTATTTTACTCTTAAACAGTAATTTATTTTGTTGTTCTTTTAATATACGCGCTTTACATTTTCCATCTCTTCACAACTTCATTGCTATTGTGTGGCTCATATTGTATATGGTGCCCGATTGTAACAATATTTAGTTGTTCAAATAATTGAATAAAATGATCGTGCTGCATATTCGAGTAAGTGACACCAGATGGATTATATCATAGAACATTAAAACGGGAGAAAATGGTACGCTTTACCTTTCATGTATTTACGTCCCGATAATCGTGGTGGTGAAGTCACTCCTTGTCCTCGATCATGATTAGTTGAATTCTGTCCATCTGAATTGAAGGTAAAGTAGATAGAAGGACCATTGCCACCGGAGAGACCACTCAGTGATCCGTTTCTCCATCCAGTTAATACTGGTGGATAATTACCATGATGATGTGAACTCGATCCACTTGCATTGACAGTTATGTGGATTCGTGGACCACTTTCACCGGAGAGATCACTCAATGTTCCGTTTCTTCGTCCAGTTAATACTGGTGGATAATTACCATGATGATGTGAACTCGATCCACTTGCATTGACAGTTATGTGGATTCGTGGACCACTTTCACCGGAGAGATCACTCAATGATCCATACTTTCGTCCAGAGAATGTTGGTGGAAATTTACCGTGCTTTCCATATGTTTTGTGATATGAATTCTGTCCACTTGCATTCACAGTTATGTGGTTACGTCGATGATTTTCACCTGAGAGACCACTCAACGATCCGTATCTTTTTCCAGATAATCGTGATGGAAAATCTTGATTTTGATATGAACTCGATCCACCTGAATTCACAGTTATGTAGATAGATGGATCATTGTCACCGGAATGGCCACTCAATGATCCGTATCTTCTTCCAGATAATCGTGGTGGAAAATTTTGATGTTGATATGAACTCGATCCACCTGCATTGACAGTTATGTAAATACAGCGACCATTGCCACTTGAGTGTCCACTCAATGATCCATATCTTTGTCTAGATAATCGTGGTGGAAAATTTTGATGTTGATATGAACTCGATCCACCTGCATTCACAGTTATGTAAATACAGCGACCATTTCCACCGGAGTGATCACTCAGTGATCCATATCTTTGTCCAGTTAATACTGGTTGATAATTACCACGATGATGTGAACTCGATTCACTTGCATTGACAGTTATGTGGATTCGTGGACCACTTTCACCGGAGAGACTACTCAATGTTCCGTTTCTTCTACCAGATAATTGTGGTGGAAAATGTGGATGGTGATGTGAACCCGATCCACTTGCATTCACAGTTATGTAGATTTTCGGACCATTGTCACCGGAGAGACTACTCAATGTTCCGTTTCTTCTACCAGATAATTGTGGTGGAAAATGTGGATGGTGATGTGAACCCGATCCACTTGCATTCACAGTTATGTGGATTCGTGGACCACTTTCACCGGAGAGATCACTCAATGTTCCGTTTCTTCGTCCAGTTAATACTGGTGGATAATTACCATGATGATGTGAACTCGATCCACTTGCATTGACAGTTATGTGGATTCGTGGACCACTTTCACCGGAGAGATCACTCAATGTTCCGTTTCTTCGTCCAGTTAATACTGGTGGATAATTACCATGATGATGTGAACTCGATCCACTTGCGTTGACAGTTATGTGGATTCGTGGACCACTTTCACCGGAGAGATCACCCAATGTTCCGTTTCTTCGTCCAGTTAATACTGGTGGATAATTACCATGATGATGTGAACTCGATCCACTTGCATTGACAGTTATGTGGATTCGTGGACCACTTTCACCGGAGAGATCACTCAATGTTCCGTTTCTTCGTCCAGTTAATACTGGTGGATAATTACCATGATGATGTGAACTCGATCCACTTGCGTTGACAGTTATGTGGATTCGTGGACCACTTTCACCGGAGAGATCACTCAATGTTCCGTTTCTTCGTCCAGTTAATACTGGTGGATAATTACCATGATGATGTGAACTCGATCCACTTGCATTGACAGTTATGTGGATTCGTGGACCACTTTCACCGGAGAGATCACTCAATGTTCCGTTTCTTCGTCCAGTTAATACTGGTGGATAATTACCATGATGATGTGAACTCGATCCACTTGCGTTGACAGTTATGTGGATTCGTGGACCACTTTCACCGGAGAGATCACTCAATGTTCCGTTTCTTCGTCCAGTTAATAGTGGTGGTTAATTACCATGATGATGTGAACTCGATCCACTTGCGTTGACAGTTATGTGGATTCGTGGACCACTTTCACCGGAGAGATCACTCAATGTTCCGTTTCTTCGTCCAGTTAATACTGGTGGATAATTACCATGATGATGTGAACTCGATCCACTTGCATTGACAGTTATGTGGATTCGTGGACCACTTTCACCGGAGAGATCACTCAATGTTCCGTTTCTTCGTCCAGATAATGGTGGTCGTAAATTATCACGTCCCTTTGGTTGTCTATGTGTGTTTTTTCCGCTTGCATCCACGTTTTTATTGATTCTTATTATGATTAGAATTGTAGTGACTAATATGTAAAATGAGTATTCGCCTAGTTTCATTTTTGTTGACGCGAACGTTTCTCTTCCCGAATTTTATCACTATTTATTTGTGGCATTTTTTCTAAGTAACTTCATTTTGTGCATGTTCAATTAATATTTGGTTACATTTTTCGTATATTTTAGTCATTTTTATATGCACTTGTTGGTTGAACTACATAATGGTGCTTGACTTTTGATTTCGAGTAAATGATGCACTTATAATATTTTCCAAGTGTTTAATCGATTTCACTTTTACTTAATTCGAAGTTTTCTATAATTTGGTTGTACCTTTTAATCTAAACTCCTGTTTATCTTCTATTGTTTCGGCCGGTCCTATTCGCGGTTAAAATGGAACGATTGGGCATTCAGTCAAATCCTATCCTGTAGAAAACGACCTTGTCAAATGAATGCTAACGAAACAAGTAAACCATTTAAACTCTCCTTCTAAGTTGAGGGCCAATGCCCCTTCTAATAGCCAGGGCAGCAGTAACATAGGTTCGCGGAATGACTGGACGGTGTGGGAGATCGGGAGGATCAACCAGATAGTTGCGGACATGAGGTAGCGAGAGAATTTTTCAACAAAGTGTTGCTGAACCGGATGAAAGTTCCAGTTGACGCCCAACTTTGCGATCAACAGACCGGATTCCATAAGGATCGGTCGTGCACAGACCAAATCGTGACACTACGTATCATCCTTGAACAATCAGTTGAGTGGGACTCGTCAATGTACATCAACTTCATTGACTACGAGAAGGCGTTTAATGGAGTGGATAGGAGGATCTTATGGAACATTCTTTGACACTGGTGTACCTGAAAAAATCGTCAATATCATACGGAATTCATACGATGGACTACATTTCAGAGTCATACACGGAAGATAGTTGACGGATACATTCTAAGTAATGGCTGGAGTCAGACAAGACTGCTTACTCTCCCACTATATATTTCTTCTGGTGGTTGACTGGTTCATAAAAACCTCAGCATCTGCGGAGAAGCACGGAATACAGTGGACAGCTCGCAATCAATTAGAAGATTTGGACTTCGCGTATGATCTAGTCCTTCTATCTCATACACATGGACGAATGCAGGTGAAGACAAACAATGTAGCAGCAGCTTCTGCATCAGTAGGCCTCAGCATATACAAGAGGGAAAGGAAGATCCTCAAATACAACACAGAGAACATAGAACCACTCACATTTGATCGAGAAACTATGGAAGAGGTGGAATCTTTCACGTACCTGGGAAGCATCATCGATGAACGTGGCGTATCTGATAGAAACTTAAAGGCAAGGATTGTAAGAGCGAGGACAGCATTCCTACAGTCGAGCAACATATGGAACTCAGAACAACTGTCAGTCAATATCAAAGTCATAATCTTCGGTAAGAACATCCAAGCTGGAACTTGGAGAACTGCCACATCTATCATCAAAAAATACAAGTATTTATAAACGATTGTCTACACAAGATACTGAATGTTCGTTGGCTGGATATTGTCAGCAGCAGCCTACTGTGGGAGAGACCAAATTAACTTCCAGCTAAAGAGGAAATTATGAAAAGATGTTGGAAGCGGATAGGACATACATTTCAGAAATCATCAAACTGCATCACTAAGCAAGCCGTCTTTTGGAATCTTAAAGAGAAAGGGAAAAGAGGAAAGCCCAAGAACACAGTTCGCTAAGAACCGGAGGTAGATATGAAAAGTATGAATATTAATTGGAAAGAAGTCGATGGGACACATTATAGAAATTATCAAACTACATCATGAGGCAAGTGCTAACTTGGGATCCTGAAGGAAAAGTGGAAAGAAGAAGACAAAGGAACAAATCGCACTGGGAAATGGATGCAGACATGAAAACGATGAATAGCGATTGGAAAGGATTATCCAGGACACAGTTGATTGGCGAATGCTGGTGGGCGACTTATGTTCCTGAACGAGGAGTAACAGGCGTTAGTATGTAAGTAAGTATCTTTGAATCAACTATTTATTGAGAAATGTTTTTTTCTATATGAACTTCACAGTCGGAATGAACCAACAAAAGTAACATTATTTCCAGCTAATTGCACACATTAATAAGTAACATCGTGGTATTAAAGTTTAGTTCAATTTGTATTAATAGGCGATTTATAAGTCTGTATTGATTGTCCAAATTTAATAATTTTCAAAATGAAATGCTGTTTAGTTTAATAGAAAAGATAACTGATGATATTGGATCAATGGTAAGAAAGTTTGCACCACCAAGTGTTGTTTATGACTCCTAAATTAATTTACGACAGAGATTTTGAATGAGTTCTTCAGATTGATATTTATAATAATGGCTTAACTGAAGTTTATAAGCATTGAGTTACTGGTTTTGGTCTATATAGATAAAAGAATCACGTCACGGTCGTTTATCGTGAATATGAACTAATAAACTTTGATTTTACTTAATTATCTTCTTTAATGGATTATAATTCCATTTCTATCTAAGATTTATTTGGATACATGTTTCTTTCATACAAACATAATCCTGTCATTATTGTTCTGTTTGTAGTAATTCAAACTGATTATCACATATTCGAAAGTTTAACTGACTATTGTAGTATTGAATGTAGAATGGGTTCTTCAGATTGATAGTTTTAATAATGGTTTAACTGAAGTTTATGAATATGTAGTGGCTTCGTTTCGTTAATCAATCACATTTGTAACCGTCATTATATAAATTCCAACAGTGTCTGAAATCAGGAGGCAATAAGAAGCGGTAACTACAGTTTATTGGTGGATAGCACGAATCACCAAGTTTATAAGCACAACAAGCGAATTTGAAGCAAAGGCAAATGTGTATGCGAGCAAGTACAGAGGCAAATTTATAGTCAAATCGAATAAGGCGCAGCTAGGCACAAGGCAAAGGCTAATAATAGGATTCGAGTACATATGTTCATGGGAAAGAGAATGATTCATCTGGCGATATCTGAGTTATCAATATTTTAGCTTGAGTCTGTCATGTGATCACGCGTAGATGTATATACCGATATGAAAATGATGATAATACTACAAACAAATATGCGAATGTTTACTGGTGGAACAACATAGTCTGTTAAGTAAATTAATAAAACGGCTTAACCAAAATTAACCATAATCGGAATTGATTGTAGGAGAATTGCTATAAATAATAAGTAACTGGTTTTGTTGCATGCAGATATAATAATCATACCTCCACCGTTTATCGTGAATATGAACAAATATACTGTGATTTTACTTAATTATTTATTACAGTGATACCCAGTGGAAGAAAAGTAAGAAAACAGAATGAGATCTCTACGTTTGACGCCAAATCGGATTGCAGGGAGGAGAAGATTTGAGGAATTAAAATTCCATAGCGTGTTACGATGGACCTCACTGACAGGTTAGCCATTTTTCATAGGTTTGAGAATCTTCCGAAAAGGAAACAAAGGTTAGATTTGAGCATAACCTCAACCACATTAATTCCTTTATAAGCAAGATACTCCCAGAAACAGTTGCGGGAGTTAGAATCTGTATTCTTTATAGAACAAAACAAAAAGTGTATTCAAAAAGTACTCAGAAAAGCCTCTTCTTTAAGGTTACCTGTGTTTTGGCTGAATAAAGAAACTTGTTGTTGGGAAACTCATGCAAACTGATTGGGTCTAGAATATACGTCCATGGGGATCACAGCCTAGTTGACCGTATTAAGAAACGACCGCCGACGAAATGGTGAAAATACCTCGTACTTAAGGGTTTTCAAATTGTGAAATTTCGAAGTAAAACGATCCCCAAATCACTCTGGATGGTAAGGGAAAGTTCTCTACAGAATTAAAAGTGTGCTGCACAAATGCTCGCTGCCCACAATATAAAATGGCAGAGCTCAAGACAATGGTGAATATGGAAAACCCGAATGTCATTGTTGTCTTAGAAACATGGCTAACTTCAGAAGTGTTTGAAAATGAAATTCAGTTTACTGGTCGTTTATTGCACTAGCTGTATTCTAACAAACTGTATATCATACCACAAGGTTCTGTCCTTGGTCCTTTATTTATTGAAACGAATATTCTTCGTTCAAATGTAAGTGTTCGAATATGATGGGTATTTTTATACATTTATTATTTCACAGTTGAAATCACGAGTCGATCTAAGATAGAATACTATCGAAAACCTGGAAACACTGAACGACCTATTCGTCCTTGTATGGGGCTCCTCAGCATTTCTCACTCACAATCCCATATTCGAAACTCGAACCCGGGATCCTTGGTCTCGCGTGCGACCACTGAGTAGTTATTCCCATACTGATTTATTACTTCGTTGAATTAGTTTTGTGGAGGTGGGTTTTCAAGTTGTAGGTTGTATTCGTTAAGAATTGGTTCCAGTTGAAATGCCACCAAATTGTTATGTAAAGCTCAGTAATAATTTCCAACTGTTCAAACTGAAATCTGTACATCACAGTTTGAAATCGTAACGATGGTCGGATGCTAAGTGATTCAATTTGTAATCCGCCACGTTATTGTTTGATGGATATGAAGAAGAAGTATTGATTGTAAACACTGCCCACTTGTTAAGGTGTATGGTGTATGTTTCTTCTTCATCTTCGATATATACTTCTAGATTTCACAATTACAATTTTGGCGGATTCTACTTATGCTGTCAGATATAAGTAGTATGTAGAAGCAGTCGGAAATAGAAGGCCTGTCAGCATAAGATTGAGTTGAAGAGAACAGGAAGGGGAACAGAAAGCAGTTGGAATAGCGACATAATTGGAAGAATCATGAAGTAGGTAGAAGACAACTGTAGACTTTCGCGTATGATAATAAATTGCTTTTATCCACCAAGTCTTCGTTCACTACTCTATTGACTCTAATTCATTTATCTTTCTATTGATGTTTAGGACTGCAATTGATCATTTTCTTTTTTGGTATGTGTACATCCTGTACGGATTGCCTCGATTCTGCCATCAAGTCATATGCATTATATGTAGAGATGGATGGTGGCTATCAGTGATATGCAGGACGCACATTTCATCCTATTTTGAACTCATAAGATGGATGTGCTTGCTGACCACCATCCACCTTAGCTTATAATACTATTGACTTTGTTATTTCAGTTAACAACAAGAAATATATGGGTTGACGTTTTCGTTTACTTCTTCTTCATTCTCCCAACGATAACAGTTTCATTTATCCATGACATAAACATTATACCTACCTTTTAACTGATTTCACTTTTGATTAACCTTTTCGGATGTTCACGCGAAACATTTTCGTCAGTTGTTGTCATCTCTCAATATCGGTCACAGTATTGTGAAGTTAACTGTGTGTAATCAAATCTATGCTGCTAAAGTGGATCGTCAATGCTTAAATTTTAAGTGATCAAATTAAATTGAGTGCACGTATTACCAATGCACCAGTTGTTCCTGAATTTCAGACTTAGAATTTTTTGTTTGTGGAAGACGTGAATCATCCATGAATATCCAGGACATGCAACTAAGATTTCAATGTGTTATAGAAATTAAGCACGAAGCTGAACTGGTAGAAGATAAACCGGATGTAAAATCTGTGTTATTTTACGCCTTCAAGTTGATTCATCAGAATAGTTCTTACACCAATTCCTCATCGCGTTAGAGGCCTAGTAAAAATACTTTTGTTAGTTATCGAATTGTCTAAAATAAATGTTATAAGTTATCACTTGTCATTACAGATTGAAAATCATAGTGTGTGTTAGATGCACACTTTTAAAGTGTAGATTGTGCGTAACACCCAAGACACTTAGCTTTGCTCATAGTAAACTATCGATTAACTGACCATGTAAGTTGTCCACTATATTAAAACCGAGGTAGTTGGAGACAGGACTAGTAAATTCGACAATAACTGCCACATGTGGCTTCTACATCTCAATGTCTTTAAGCATTACGATGTCGAATTTTTCGGGTAACTACATGTGAATATGATGCGTATTGAGATAGAAAGCTTTAATGAAAATTTGTTTATGATACGATTAATGAGGCCGTGTTGTGATTGTTATATCCCAGCAAAGATTAAATTACGAGTAACTTCTGAGACCTATTAATGGACTAATATTCAGTAACTCGATTATGTAAATCTATATTCCTCTTATTATAAGCCTCATTTTGATCTACAGATTATTATTGTACGATTTACTGTTCTTGAGTTATATTCAGTGCATTGACTACTGTCTCCCACATTCACAGCCAAGTTTTGGCTTTATTGTGTATAAATGTTATTTCCTATTTTTTGGTACGGTGCGGTCTGTTTGCGTGGTATGTAATCCAAGTATGTCTGAGAGAAATGATTCGCATAGTGGAGCCTGTTATTGACATTCTGGAGTCAGCTGGACGGGCTAGGCGAGCAAAAGACCAATAGGATGCTAGGCTGATCAGACCAGTCGGATGTCATTGGTTTAGTACAGTACAAGAACGAATAAGTCGTATTTTGATTGACGAATAAATTTAAGTGATAAGAAGCGAGCCTAAAGACACAACAGTAATAACTCCACATCATTGAGACAGGAAAACAGATAATGGAAAACTAAAGCGCCTCTCAAAACCACCACTAACCGATCTTATCACTATTTGATAGGAAATACTTAAAATCGTACAAATTCTATACTCGATAGAAGAAAAGTGACTTAAAAACCTCCAGGTCCTCCTAACGTTGTCCTAGACTTCCCTCGATTTTACAGTTGCAATATTGAATCTGAGGTGATATGAAGTAAACAAAAGTGCTGAAATATCTTACGTTATATTCCGTAAAAGTTTTGAGAGCTCTTCATCTCTGTAAATTAGTTCTATTCACAATGTTTCATCGAACCAAAAACTTGTGTTAGCGTTTCGAAGATCATATGGTATGGTTGGTTCAACTATCTGCTTCTAGTTTCAGTTTCCAGATGGTCTCAGTCTGAGGCATCTATTCTTCGAACAACGCAGAAGCCAACAATATTGTTTTCACTCCGATGGTCATCAGTCTTTACTCCAATATCTATGAATATTCACATATTCGATGAGCATACGATAAAGAAAAGTAAATCATTTTGAGTAATCTATCGTAAACCTTGGTCATTTTCCAATGGCGTTCGATCCCGTCTCCTGCACATCGCAGAAGCTATATGGATCCGAACCCATAGACCTAGTTTCAGTTCAGAAGAAATTCCTGACACCTCTGTTCATTCTTTGATCCAATACGACTTAATAAACGATTTTATTTGTGTTTTCACATTCCGTATTTGTTTGTCATTCTTCACCCTTTTCCGTTTATATTCTTCAGTAAAGCCTGGTGATGCTCTGATTGAAAACAATATTATTGGCTTATTTTATTGTTGATTGTCGTCTATTGATTTTCTTACTAATTGTAAGTGGATTTTGTGCACTTGCTAGATCGTTGGCTCACATTTTCTTTTGTTCGTTTCTTTATCAGCTGTTCCCACTCATTCTAGTCTGCACGCTCCCTCAGTATACAAAGTACCTTCTAGCTAGATACGAACGGCTATTTATGGTAAGACAATATTGCAACAAACGTAATATTTTTTTTACGTTTTGGAAGAACTATGTATGATATTACTTGAAATATATTCTGATATATGTGTATATGTTGTTTACCACGTTTCACAATAGTGTTTGACATTATTTTATACATAAATAAATTTGATTCCATGTGGAATAAAACATATTTATCACATCTGATGATTTACTACATTTGTATCCACTAATTCGTATTAAAGCGTCTAAATTCTTCAGTTTTGTTTCGCGATTCTCTCGATGTTCTTTCTGCATCAGTTTTTGTTTCTCTTTTATTTCCATTAGTATCCTGAATACCAGAGAATTGCATATCCCTCCCTGTCATTTCAGATATTCCATTATAATCTTTTGCATATTTTTTCTTTGATTTAGCCCTTATCTTAAAGTCATCTTTAATATATGAACTAGCATATCGGTCCGAACTTCCAATTGTATCTCTGTTAGAATACTTTCGACTACGTTTACCATATTTTGTGATTTTACCACCATACTGAAATGTAGTGGTTTCTGAATCAATATCACCGGATATTGAATAACCACGAGAATAGAAAAGACCTTCATAGCGTTTACCACCTGCCTTGTTTTTTTGTCTCCTCTTATAATAATTGCCATCGCTTTGAAACAAGTTCAAATCATTTCTCCTGTTACCGGATGAACTTTCTTCTCTGCTAGTTACATTCATTGCTTCACTCTGTGCTTTGTCAATCGTGTCCTGCAATGATTGCCCCATAAAGAATTGCGTATTTCCTAATGTTATTAAATTGATTGTTAAATAACTTATTAGTAGTATTAAAGGAAGATTAATAATCCTTCCTTCCATCACAATGGGAACTAAGGGAAATAAACCAAACTCTTCTACGCATTCGGCTAACTTGATCAAATATACGTATTTATATGAATTTGTTCTTCATATGACACAGTTACTAAGTACATTTCGATGTCAGCAACAATTACAATAATAAGTATGACAAAATGATATGTATTACGTATTATTTAGCTATCGTTTTGCGCAACTCGATTTACATTAAACTTGGTCATAAATTGATGATAATAAATAAATTAAACTAAAGTAGTTGGTAGTTTTGCTGTGAGACTTGACAGTTGATTAACTGACCTTCTACTCGTTTCCAATTGATATCGTCTGAGGTACAAGTAGAAACTAGAGCCACTGAACAGTTGTTTTTCCTGGCATTGGTCTCCTCAGGAATATGCATCGAGAATTAGGCTAGTAATTGAAGCCACGATCTTTAGTGCATGCCACAGAGGAATCCAGTACTAGGGTGAAACAGCTATTCAAGGTTCCTGGTTTTCCATGGTACATCATTCGGCGTCAGTCTGTGACAAATAACACCTTGAAATTGACCTAATCGTCACAAAATCCTTCCATCAGAACTGCCACTTGACATTCACTAGAATTTACTGAATCATTCATAAAATTTACCAACTGAAAACGAAGGTCACTCTTGGAAGTTATCGCAATACTTTGCACATACTAATTGAGTTCTGCGAATGTATGACGAGATTCTCTTGTTTTAATGCAACTTTTAACCTTGTTCATTCCTAGTTCCATTCATTAATTCAGTGTTGTCTGCACATAAACCACGGTTAAAACTGACTGATTGGTTAACATAGGAAATAATGGTTATTATAACATGTATTACATGGTCACTAAAAATCCTATGCTATTCAGTAACTAGAAAACAGTTATCAACTGACTGTCTCTTGTAATTTAAACTATTGAACGCCAACCATTGGTTTTAATTTTGTTAACATTGATATTCTCCTTTAGCCATGATCGCACTGCAAAATCTCACAGTGAATTTATTCTCATATAACACTTGATGTGAAGCAGCTAAAGTGGAAATCTACAGTTTAATTTGCTAGTCAGTAAGACAGAAGGTTCCTTACTCCAAATTCTCATTAATCCCTCTCCATACTGAAAACTATCTTATAGAGTCATATATTATGTTACTGAGCCTATTAGTACTAATCATCTAGTCACTTGTGACCTAATTTTAAGTTACTTTGCAATATATATATAGTTTTTAATTAAATACTCTTATTCACTGTCTTAGGCTGCATTTTGTGATCTCCCGTTCAATGAGTTATAAAGTTCTGATGAGAGAGGGATAGGTAGAAGTCATATTTTCTATCGATTAATATATGATAAATTGAAACCTACTCCGATTATCTTATCTATTTTATTCGATAATATCATTAGTAAACATTTTGCGAAAATGAATTCTAGACGGAACTATATTTTTAGATGGTAGATTGAGAGAATCTTTATCAAGTTACATCATGTTATAAATATGGCGTCAATAAATCACTTATTAAGGAAAGTAAAGACTTCGAAAGTTTGAATAGGTGAATAACAGAATGGCTTTCTCATAGATAGGAATCAATCTCTTTTCATTGTAGTGGATAAAATTACCAATGATGTAGTGAAACCAAGGTCAATCTCCTTTTTATGTATACTATGCTCATCAGTTTGTCACTCGATATTAAGTATATTCACAAAAGTGTCTTTCTGATCTGGATCACTGTGGAGCTTGAAGTCATTAGGATATCCGTAAATAACAGAATTTGAGTAAAATTCATCATTTATTGTCAATCAAGAGATAACTATATCTGACACAAGGGTGACTTGTAATTAATTTACAAACCATAAAATTTATTTATACAAGAATGTCCCATACACTTTTAATATAAAAAATTAGCATATGGAATAATTTTTTTAATATTTTTACGTAAAATTTCTTACTGTCTAATGGAGAAAATACACTTAGTTACCTTAAATTAATTTTATTATACTTAATTATTTACTGTCGTTTTGCTTAACTGCGTTACGTTCGCTAGTGATCAGTAACGAAATACATCATATTTATTAGATTATCCTCATTATTTCCTGATACATGATAACCATATCTTTAGAATTAAAGACGTTATTACCGAAATGCAAGCGTAGTACACAGTACGTCAAACGCTACTATGGTGTATGCTACTTATATTGACAGATACAAGTAGTATGTAACACCAATCAGATGCAGAATGCCTGTCAAGAGAGGATTGAGCTGAAGAGAACCGAAAGAAAAACAAAAAGTAACCGTAATAACAACAGAATTGAAAGAATCATGAAAGATGTAAAGGACAACTGATGGAAGATGTGCAAATTATGTATTTAATGTATGATTTTCATAGTTTGCTAAATGACTCTTTAATTTGCTTTAGTTTCCATACTTGAGTTTTTCGTTCACTACATTACCTGTCTATAAAAATTGAATTTTGTCCATCAAGTTTTTACTTTCTTTGAGATTATGATTTCTTATTGTTAATTATAATTGGATAGCTTTTCACATCGAAAGCTGTTTAAAACAAAACAGTGCAGATTTAGAAAATTTTCTTTGCTCAATCACCTTTACTTTTAAAAAAAACGGGATTATTTGTCAGTCAGTCAGTCAGCTACAATGTAGGACCAGGCACATATATGCATCAGTCCAAGTTGCCATACCTCGCTAACAAAACACGATGAACACCAAATTCTTAGAAGTAGTAAATTCAATGGTAGTAATATATAAAAGAAAGATCACACATAAGGGAGAAAGAATTAGTTCGCAGAAAGAGAGTGTATACACTGACGCCATTGTGATCGATTCTGATCCATGTCACCAAGAGTCTTCAACCATTGGTTACGATAGTCGCGCGGACGATAACCAAATAGTCTGCATCTACCAACATGGTTCAGACCAGATGTAAATGACTTCAAGGTTTAGTTTGGTCGCCCCTAACTTTCTCCCAACCGTCTCCGACACTAGTCAGCATTGCTCGTCGTGGTGATCGGTGTTCGGGCATACGTAACACGTGGTCCAACCATCTTAGTCAATGAAGATTCAAAACCTCATCAACTGATGTATTATCATCCCCTTATACCCTCAGTCTAATCTCACTATTACTTACCCGGTGATCCCAGCAGATACCAGAAATATTTCTAAGGCATCTGTGGTCAAATACTAGTAATTTATGAGTATCTTCTACTCTTAATGGTCACGTTTATTTATCAATAGTCGACTATAATTTTATCGACTCAATTGTATAAACTTTAAACACTTAGGTTAGTATTATTGCTGCTAAATATTGTCTAACTAGTAAACTGTTCATTTATCTGGAAATTCTACTGTTATGCGCAAAGTCGAATATTTTTTCTTCATAGATAACTGGTAAGAAGTTAGCTTAGTTAGACAATAGGAAATTGCTTAATCACATAGATCTATTTTTAAGACAATAAACAGAACGGATTGTTTTATATTTAATTCAATTAATTACTCAGGGTTAATAATATAATAATCAACATTCAGCATTTTTATTGAAATATTTTTATTCCGTTTGCGAATAACTCTACAGATGTATCTTATCCTTCAGCTTCCATGAACGAATGATTATTTAATAATTATGTATATGAATGTCGTATGAAACAATTGACTTGTATCTAAGAATACTATGATATTTGTATACAATAATGATTTCTTTATACAATATTTCGTGTTTAATTTGAATTGCCTAGTCAATACTTTCGGTTGTGCCAGCGAAATTCTTTGTGATTCGAATATTGGAGAGACTATTAGAGTAAAAATTGGAATTACTTGTTAAAAAAACTGAATTTGACTACTTATAGTTATCTCAAAAACTCATACAAGTATTCAACCAAATACTTCACTATCGTGTAATTGAACTTTGTGAATATATATATATACTCTATAATATTACTACTTCCGTTAAGAAAATAACATTCGATTGCATAGTTTAATGATGTAGAAAACGAATACAATGCCTTTTCCGGAGTATTGCAATGATTACCTAGAAATGTGCTGTATAATAGTTTCAGAAATCAATAGTTTTTTATTTTTAAGAGTTTTTATTATTCTATTCTTGATACTTAAGACTGAATTTTACTCAGTATCAATTAAATGCGTTCAGGTTAAAGAATATTGCAAAAAAGAGTGATTAGAAATAAACCTTGAAAATCAGCAACAGGATAAAATAAATCTATATGAATAAACACTGCACCAGTTGAACCTGTTGGTGAAGCCTTGACTACTCAGTAATGGATAACTTCCTAGTGTTTGAAGAGATTTGTACTGGGTTTGAGTCCAAGTGTGAATACCAATACTAAGATGCAGATATATTAAGCTGAGAAGTACTAAACAAGACAGAATGTACGTCGTTGATTTAAGCTCTAGCTACAATCCAAACACACAACTCACGTTTCAGTTAACTATACGTTATCCTTTTGTAACAGTATCTTGACTCTTGATGAAATAAAAATCGTTTCTTCCTTTCATATGTATCCCTCCTTTAACAAGATATCCCAAAAGGTAATGCTTTCAAAATAGTTTACCGTCATGAAACGGTGTCATCATTAGAGAACGATTGATTCCTTCGATGAGTAATCCACTCGTAAAATTACCCACCAATATAAATTTGTCTGGATGTACGTTCGATCATAGAAGCATATAAGTTAATAAATACTGTAAAACAGATAATTATGTGTATTTACTCATAAACCTTATAACATGTTTCGCATTAACAGTTCTGTCGTAGTAGAAAATAGACATTTAGAAGTAGCGTGAGTAAATGAAACAACATAAAGAATCATTAATTAATGCAATCTAAAATGTCATTACATAGCAACAAAATGTCTCTAACACCCAATCATTCGTTTATATTCAAATAGTTATGCTAATTAGTAAGATATTAATAGTAATGGTGACAATTTTAGAACAACAACAAAACTTACCATTACCTATGAAGTTATCCCACACAACTGAGATTAGAAAATCGACAACAAAAAAACACTATGCCTACTTTTGGCGAGTCCCATACTAAGACGGTACAGCTATCTAATGATTACTAATTTCTATTAGTTATGTAATTAAAATTAATCTGTGGTTTAAAACTACAAAATTCAAAAGTATCCTCAATCCCCTACGCTAAGAAATATATATTAATGAACAGTTGATGACATTATTGTTTTATTAAATAGTACAACATATATTCATGATATTAGATCATTGGAAAAGTCAGTTAATTCATTTACATGTTGATATTTTTAATTCATTATCTGAATATTCTCAATTAGTAGGTGAATACTTTACTCTGCCAACGAATTTGGCCTGGGTGTAGTTCTTCTCGGCGCTTCAGTTGATCGTTGTGGTGATTCTTCACGCGGATATTCATGTGGTTTATCATCACCATGTTGACCATATTCTCCCTCTTCTTCTTCATCATTACTTTTATAATATTCATTGTATTTACGACGTTTTAACTCTTTTAATTTATTCATTGATTGTTCTGCTAAATTAACATGACCATAATTATGCGCTTCACCATCATCATAATTATTACTATCATATGAATCATAATTTTCATCATCGTGGTTATCATGATTACCATAATTATCTGGTACAAATCCAGCTCCATCTTCCATATCATATTTACGTTCATTAATTGTTTTCAATGGAAAGTTTACAGCGTCATATGAATTTTTTCTAGAATGTTCTAAAAGTCCATTATAATAATGATTAGAATGTGTATAAATTGAATTAATTAAAGCAATATATATTATTATTCCTATTAAATAATACTTAGTGAATAGCATATTTTATTGTAAATGATAAAATGAGAGTGCTTCAATAGTATATATGGATATATATACGTTTACTCATTTATATGAACATGTATATTGTATAAATTATTATATTTTAAGGTTGCGTATAAAATGTTAAGTGCAGGCTTAGAATAGTTAAATAAATCAATTATGTTTGATACCCTATTCTTGTTATTCCGCATTTATTCAAAACATTGATGCGTAGAAATTACAATTTGAAATAAACTATTATTTGAGTTCAACCGGGTTTGTTGAGAGATAGTAACTCACTGAAGACAATGATGGATGTGTTGCTTAATTTCGAGGATTAGCTGAAGTTAGACATTAACACTGTTGGATACCGACCGGCTCAGTTGTCTAATGGTTAAGCGCTCACGCACGAGACTGATAGGTCCTGGGTTGGAATCTCACGAGGCGGGATCGTGGATGTTCACTGCTGAGGAGTCCCACACTAGGACGAGACGACCATCCAATGTTTCCAGGTTTCTCATAGTAGTCTAGCGTCAATTGACTCATAATCTCAACCATCGAAATTATTATTTTTATATTTAGAAAATATTGAAATTAAAAACTTTTATCAAATTGTAAGATTGAGAAATTAAACATTTCCTGGTGTTTTTCTAGGTTAGGTTTGAATAAATTACCTATTGCTATAATAATAATATTATTATTATGGGACTATAATTGATGAACGGACCAATCAGATTCAGGATAACAGATCTTGAATTTCGGCGTGAAATCCATTCACCTATTTGGCCAAGTAACGTTTTGGCATTTTAACTGATGCCATTTCGTGATGAAAATCCTAAATCTTATTTCTAACCCCTAACCATCCACTGTAAATCATAATACTTATTCCTCATACTGGTTTATAACCGTCATTTAGCCCTAGTGAGTAGATGAACGTTCTCAATGTTACTTTAGCGTCACTCAAAGGTCATTATTATATTATATTCTTACCATTACTATTACCATTAGTATTAATATTTTCTTTGGAAAACATATATTGATATCCATTGCTATACTAACCGATCATTAGTATCAGAAGGGGTTTTGTGGATATTATAGTAATTCCTAACGGTTGAGATCATGAGTCAATTGAAAATAGACCACCGTCCAGTGCTTCCAGGTTTTCCACGGTGGTTTAGCTTCAATTGACTCATGATCTCAACCATTAAAAATAACCGATCATTATTTATTTAGTGTTAATTTTCAACTTATAAATTTATATACTGCTGTAAAGCCTTGACGAGGAACTAATTGAAAAAGGGAATATTCTCTTTTCCATTAAACGTTTATTTATCCTTATGTTGCGAACTAGTATGACAATGATTATGTATGCCAATAAATTAATTTGTTCAAATAGTTTATTTTTATTAAAACCATATTTGTACATCACGAAAGTCTCAAAATTTCTAAGTGAGTTTTGCATGCTGCATTATTATGGGACTGAATTTTTATAGAAATAAATGTAAACCTGTATCAAAATAGCCCACTAGTAGTTTTAATAAGTGTCAAGTGATTAAACACAGTCAACAGAAAATCAATCCTAGACCTAATTTTCTTGCTATTTAGGATTCTTTGATAAAGTGTACCCGTTAGCTCCTGATGCTTCACGTTGGATTTGATTCTTATCATTCAGATTCACAGTATGAAACAAGTATCACTGAGCTACTCGAGACAATAGTAACATTCTATAGGATGTAAATTGATCACTAACAAGTAACCAGAGTCATGTTTATCAAGTCCTTTTCAGTGCTGATTGAATTTTATCAAAGTTTATGTAAAACTAATAACGTTGAATAAATTATTTTAAATAAACATAATGTCCAAAAGTAATTTTGAAATACCGATCAGAATTGTAATTACTTGCAGTTTATGTAACCAGCACAAAGATCAAACAGTCGTTTCCTTTTTAACGCACAACTCAGATTTTAGACAAGTTTAATAAATATATTTTCAACAAATATGACAAGACTACCATTGTTAGTACACATCAATGTCTAGTTGTATGTATTTCTCACATAATCGCATAGAAATCACCTCCTATCTTATTATGAAAAGCATAATCTTTTGCGATTTCATCTGTAAAGTCAACACAGAATGTATTCACCACAAGTTTATCGATTGCTTTAGTAACATGTGTATTTTTGGAAAGCCACTGTAGGGCCAGTGAAATGTCACTGAGCCCTAGCCAAATCATCCGGCAGTTGGATCACTGAATGTCGAACAGATCATCGCTCCCTGCCAAAGTCATGTACAATCAACGCGCATTAGTTAATGATATGCCATGGACTGGTGCATGCGGCAGTGGTCCTACTTTCGCTTGTATCTACTTTAATTAATATATTTCTGTAATAACGTTCTCTGTGTTGTACAGTCTTCAGAGCATCTATAGTACCTTGATACGTCAATGAGGTAGTCCATGTAAGGTGCCGACCACGAGGTGTGACTTCGACGTTAGCTGGTTCGTCACACCATTCACGTCTAACTCGAGTAGGTCTCCAATCATTTCGACATAGATCATCTACGTTGGTGATCTACACCATCAAGCTGAAGCACGAGACAACCCATAACATTGAATCCTGAAGGGAAGAAGAAAAGAGGAAGACCCAAAAACATATTGTGTCAGGAACTGGAGGTAGACATTAAAAGAATGAATGGAAGTTGAAAACAGCTAGAAAGGAAAGCCCGGAACAGAGTTGGTTGAAGAATCCAGATTAGTGGACTATTCGCCTGCACGAATGGTAACACGCGTAAGTAAGTATTAAAAACGTTTCTACAGTTCATCATCAGAAAAGTTAGAAGTAACTACTTTGAATCGCTATATGCTCTCCCATTAATCTAAAACAAAACTAATGCCGAGTTCATTACAAAAACATATTTCTTAGACAAATCATATTGGTGATAATTCATATATGCAAACTTAGGACTTTCTGAATAATTATATTGAGTCACTACTTTAAAGTTGGTGTTGAGTACCCTGTCTAGATTTACAACCCTTTGCAATCAAATTGTGTAGTTTAGAAGCATGTATTATCGTCAGAGAAGAGCGTAAACTGAATATGTTGTAGCTTTTATTTTTACATTAATGATGGTTTTATTATATATAAGCATTATTATGGTAAAACTTGTCATTATCGAAAAGACAAGGTCTATGTTTCACCAAAAGCCCAAACAGCATGAAAACGATTGTGTCACATCCCATTGTGTCTATCAATTTACATGTATGTGTGGAAACACGTACATAGGGAGGAGCAATCGTGATTTGCACTCAAGGGTGGGTGAACATATACCAAAATGGTTGCAGAATCAGATGAATTCCAATGGTGAAATAAGATCACAGGATAGACAGACATCATCATCCATTGCGAAACATTTGATTGAGATGGGTCATAAGGTTGATATCAAATCAGCATTTGCTGTTTTGTACAAAAGCCTTCAAGGACGTATACTAAGGTTTATTGAAGCCATAGCTATAGGAAAATTGAAACCCCCTTTATGTGTTCAAAAACAATTTGTACTTACACTTAACCTACCCTGGTAGTACTGATTTACTATCCAGAGTGGTAATCACATTTGTTTTTGTGTACTTTAATATTTTTCCTTTGTTATGACTTACCCTTAACCTGTCTAGTTGACCTTTTAATTTTCATATACAAATGTTCTTAACAAGTATATGTGTGATCAGATTGTTCGAAATGTATTGCGTAAATATATCACATATTTGTCGTAATCTTCGTCTTCTCATTGCATTATCGAAATTTATCAAAGGGACTAATTGTTTTAAGACTATTTTAATAAATTGTATTAAACTTCAGCTGTTGGCTAATGTTTAAAAATGTTAAAAAAAGTTGATTTCAATAAGGTTATTTAAAAAACAATAAATAATACCCTACTCTTCTCCATGGAAGAGAAAGTTGTATACCTCTACTTAGAAGTTAGGTGATTACGAAAGCTTTTAGTTGTCTCTAAATTGTCCCTGTGTTTCTTTGTACAATAAGACAGTGAATGATAAATACCAGTCAAACTTAACTCCATTTAACCCTTGTTGTAGTCTAATATTTTAGTCAACCATACTCATAATCTGAACATAACATATCTAAAGACTTTCATAACTAATCCTTTAGTTCCTGCTATTATCTGGCGCTAAAAGTCAGTTCTCTTCAGATTATTTGAATGAAATTAGGATTGTATCACTTTCGTACAAAACATCCTACTAGTTGACCTTAGACCTGATATACAGGAAAGGAAGAGAAAGACAAGTAGAAAAAATTAACTGAATTGAGATTAGTACATAATAAGAGTTGGTTTAATTAAAAACACAACTAGGGAAAAATTCTTTTATTTAATGATACTCCTTTCACTTTTATGAAGAATTTGGAAGAAAATTATAGTATAATTTACCATTGGTTTCTGCTTTTAATCATATCTGTAAACATTCACTAGATTAAGGTAAACCATCACTTAGATCAAAATAAATCGACATAAACTTTCTTGGATACTACGTTGACTGATCACAAACTCATCACCTTACCAATTTTTCCATCTAGTTCCCGGATAGATATATACAAGTTTCACGTACTGGAATTTCAAGTTCGGTTCAAATCCATCTTCAAACTGTTACATCCAATTGAGCTGTATTACAGAAGTATTGTGAATCGCGAGTTGGCTACTCTAAATTCTACCGATTGATAAGCTTCAGATATCCCAGTTCGACCCCAATACTGTTCCCAATCTCCAATATATCAGAACACGAACCGTAGATGAAAAATCGTTTATGGGGTCACGAGCAGCAGAATAATGATTTACAAACAAATGCATATTTATACAGTTAGGATTACTATAAATATTGACCAATAGGAAAATGACACGCGAAATAAATATTGATCAGTAGGGAAACAACCAATAGGGAAATGACACCATTTAACGTTCAAGGGTAGCGTTAGACTTAACCGGATAATTGCTTTTGGGATATTTTTCTGAGTATCCAAACACCTCCCCTTTGGAAAGTTAATAGCGACGTAACCGAGGGTTTACTTGAAGTTTCTTTGGGTGTCTTCTTTTGCGATCCGATCTCCGAGGCAACCACACAGGAC